TACGTGGGAGTCCAGCGACATAGCCATTACGCTAACTGCTGGTTCCCCCCAGGCTGCCTTCTGAGCATGGGCTGTCACTGCTCATTGTCCTCAAGGCTCTTGGCTCTTACAGAATGTTCACTAGATCCGAGTCCCCAGCTTCTGGGCCACGGAATGGTACTGGTTCTTATTACAACGTAATAATAATGATAAAGTGCACAATGAATACGATGAACTCAAATCATCCCCAAACCATCCCCCTCACTCCTGTCTGAGGAGAAATCATCTTCCACAAAACTGGTCCCTGGTGCCAGCAAGGTGGGGGACCACTGCACTAGATGAACTTTGAACTTCCTTCTCCAGGTATGCCAGCTGCTGGCTTTGTTTAATCTCCACATGCGTTTTTTTTTTTTTTTTTAAGTTTTTGCTATAGAGCATGTGTGCTCACCAGAGACAGAGATAGAGGTGGGGGGAGTGAGAAATCACCCAGCAGGGGGTCAGGCCACATCTCAATCTCTTCTCCTTTATTCTCTCAGGATTGGGCATGCATGGACATGAGTCTGCTGGGTCCAGGGATTCGAACTGTAAAGTTGCCCATATGGGATCCATGCCACCTGTTGGTCCCTCTATATGCTTTTTTCCTCCCTCCCTCCTTTTTCTTTCTTCCTTTTTTCCTTCTTCCTTCCTCCTTTCCTTTCCTTCCTTCCTTTCTCTCCCTCTCTCTCCTTTCTCTCTCTCTCTCTCTCTTTCTATACCTTCTCTATCTCCTGCTTTTGGGATTCCAGGTACGCATAGCACATGTGCTCAGTGTTTCCCAAGCCCCCCTATTTTGGGACTCCAACTGTGAAGTTGGTTACATGGGATACAGCTGCTTTAATCACCACCCCATGGGCTGGCCTCTTTAAAAATGTGTTTATTTCTTCTATGAGGGTGACAGAGAGAGACAGAAGGATGCACCCCCACCAGGGTCTGACACCATGACCCCCCGCAGCCTCAGCCAGCCCTGGACCATGGGCACATGTATGCCTGGTGTACTCAAGGTGGTCTGTGGGTGAGAGCCTGGGACCTTCCCAGCAGGTCAGCCTCACGCTGCCTCAGGTCTTACCACTGTGTCATCGGCTCCACCCTTGCTTTTTGTTATTTTAAAAAAATAATTATTTAATTGAGTTTCTTATTATTTTTTAATTTGACCAGAGAGAGAGAGAGAAAGGGAAAATGAGAAAGCAAGCCGCCAGGTCCGGGACTCAAACTGCAGCTGTCCATGTGGGAATCTAGTGCCTTTAACTATCACACCACCTGCTGGCCCCCACATTCACTTTTTAAAAGTTTTTTCATGTTTTACAGAGAGCCAGTACCCCCAACAAGGTCTCGACACCACAATCCGCCCCCAACCCTCAGCCAGCCCGAGTGTGCCTGCTTCATTCAGGAGGCCTGTGGACTTGAACCGGGAAGCACCCCATGCGGGATCACCTTACAGAGCATGTTCAAGCACTGCACAGCCATCTGCAAGACCCCCTAAGTTTACTTATTGCTTCCATGAGATGGTGGGACAGAGAAAGGCACCCCTAAAAGTCTTCCTGCTGCAGTCCACACCTTGGCCAGCCTGGAGCACAGGTACCAGCATGCAGTTTCCTCAGGAAGGTCCCAGGACAGCACCCAGGCCCTCTCCCACGCGGCTCCAGTTAGCACTGCGCCACTACCTGGCCCTGACGTCTCCAGGGTCACAGGCCCCTGTTCTGGGCCAACTCCTCTCTCATATCAGTCCTGGCAGCCTCCCCTCAAACACTCGGGCAGTTCTTGCAGGAAGGGA